TGGGATGAGGGATGATAAACGAAACTGTACTTTCTGATTTAGAGAGCTTTCTTCTGGGTTCCCTTTTTATTTTATTTTTCTGTTTGTTTGTCTTATACATAGATTTGATAAATCGACGCTTCAAAAATGAAATTCGAACAGGTACTTTCACCCTGTATTTCCATTCATGCCAAACATTTGGCCGATCAGTACCAGGACACATCCTTTCTCAACATACTAGAGACAAAATACTTTAATGACGAACTTAATCGACACTCCTACATAGGAAAAAACATTGGATGTAGCAGAAAGGATCCGCTCACAAAGGAAGTTTTGAAAAACGCTTATCAAGGAAAGTTCTAAAAACGGATTATACGATTTTTCCGTAGTAAAAATATTTTTTCCACTTACAATCAATGATCCTTGAGTAAAGATAAACCGAGAACCCTTAAATTATACCAATTTTTCGTCTCTAGAATATGGGGGGATTTAAAGTTTGTCGTCTTTGCCTCTGTGAATCTTAAAGTTTTCTGTGTGTTCCTTAAGTTTTCCTGAATTAATGATTGAGCAAGAGGAGGCCATATATTTCCGTGTTTATTTGGGAAAAAAATATATATTTTAATTACATTTTGCAAAATCGGGCCTCTGCGTTTGTTGGTCGGGATCACACGATTGTTTCAGAACACCCTCGAGATTTATCCTTTTGCGTGCGAGGCGAATCTATTCGTGTTCTGGACAGGCAAGTAGGGATCAAAGCTTCTCGGGAGATTGAATGCCACGAACAGGAACGAGCTACTCCGTAAATTGTAACATTGGGCGTGCGAAAAACTGTCTACGTGAGCGGAGGCGCGTGAATATGTTTCTCTATCAAAGACTTATACAGGAAATTCGCCACTTCCAAGAACGCGAGAATCCCCCTCAATCTCTGTGGTTAGAAGCAAAATTGGCATACACAAGAGTTTCAATCTTCACTTCTTCGCTTCCAAAATCACTAGGCTCTCTTTACTTTTTTAAATTTTTGCATGAAAACCTAATAATAACTCTTGAAAAATCTTTTAAAGACGTATCTTCCACTTCGATGGTAGAAAATCAATTTTAAGACCGACTTTATCAAATTGAGAGGAATGAAATATTGAAATGCAGGGTCGAATATTTGGCAAATTTGCTTTTTCAAGAGTGCCCGTTGCGAGATAGGGAGAGCTGCTTTTTAAAGAACTTCATCAGAATTAATCTCCTCCTAGCAAATTTATGATGACGCTAAAATTTAAAAAGAAAAAAAAAAAAAACTCATGAACATAAAACAAAACGCCCACGTCCTCTTGTCAAACGAACGATTTTGCGCTAAAAAAAAAAAAAAAAAAAAAAAAAAAAAAAAAAAAAAAAAAACATCATAAACGCAAAATTAGGATGATTATTCCATTTTGATTAGCACATTGTTCCAGGATGTCAAAATTCCTTAACACGTTACGCCGCCGTCGATGTTTACATTCATGTGAGGCAACTATTCGCGCTTGGCGGATATCCATGTTGCATACACAAAATCTTGAAGGCGCTTTGCACGTCTCTCCGAGGACTTTATTTCATTTGTAATTTGTCGACAAACAGCTCGTCTACTTACGGAGATTCAAGGTGAGATCGATGTTGAAGTCAAGAAAGCACATATCTTGTCTTGATTACAATGTGCCAAAATTTTATCTCCTATTTTCGTTTTGGGAAAAAATGCTGACAACGTATATTTTAAATGAAACAAATATTGTTTGGTTTAGGAGACACCGTTTCATTAATATTTTGTTCCTAACTTTTAAATGGGGGCGGGGGTGGAAGGCATGAGCTCCCCCTTCCCGTTCGCCCGAAAAAAAAGGGGAAAGAAAAGGGGAAAAAGGAGGAAGGAAGAAACAGAGGAGAGAAGAAAAAAGGGTATCTAAATAGTAATAATTCATGACGAAATTGACTCAAACTACACAAATTAGATGGTTTGAAATTTCGAAAATTTTTTGGGGGAAGGCCTCGAACCCCCTTCCGCCCCTTCCGCCCCCTCCTTGTTCGAAGTGTCTGCGGGTCGATTGTTGTTATTGATAGACAAAACTATAGACAAAGACGAGAAAAGGGATATGGAGGGATCCTATCGGTGGAAGTAGGTGATTGCGGAGGACAAAGAATGTTCATAATAGATTAACTGACGGCAACCCACGAGAGACCTTATAGTTCGTCAATCATTTCCTCCCATAGTCCGTAGGATAACCCACCATTTCAACCAATAATAAGATTGCTCCATTCTCCCCATGTCTCCTTTATCTGTCGCTTCGTCTATAAATTTCATCAATCAGCGAGCCGATTTTTGCAATTGATAGACAAAGCATAGACAAAGAAGACAACAGGGATATGAAGGGATTCCATTGGTGGAAGCGGGTGGTTGCAATGGACAAGGGAGGCAGGTAATAGACTAACTAATGGCAACTTACGAGGGACCATGTAGTTAGTCCGTAATTTTCTCCCTTAGTCTAAAGGAACCAACCATTTGAACCAATAAGATCGCTCCATACTCCGTACATCTTCTTTGTCTATCGCTTTGTCTATCAATTTCCATTAACGAACAGCCCGCTGGATCCGTCCATGCCAAACTTAACGTAACGGAGACGTAAACCAAACCCCCTCCCGCAACCCGCGATTAGATTACGCACTCGTATTATACCCCGTGGACCTCTCCATTATTTGGGTCATTCTACGGGACGGACAATGAACCTTTCTATTCGGGCCGGGAGGGGTCCCACGGCTCTTTTGGGCAGGGCGGCGCGTCTCCCTTGGGCTGGTAGTTGGGGCGGGTGCCGGATGAGGACCGTGCGGCCTGTGCGGCGGCCGACGGCGGCGGGGCGGGGGGGGGGCGATGGGGCGGTCGCCGGTCCCGGGGCCCGGGGACGCCGGGGTCGCCGTGGCGCGCGCGGTGCCCGAGCCGGGGCGTGTGGAGCGTGGAGGGAGCGCGATCAGCGCTGCGTCGCGTCGGGACGGGCGTCCGGCCCGGGCTCACAAGCAGTCGAGTCGGCCCGACCAACGCCCCATCGCTGCCAAGTTGAAAAGATTTATGGTTGTTTGGCCCTTTTTGAAATCGCCTCTTTAAACAGCTCTTGGAGACTGTATGGTCGAAGGCGAATCCAAGGGAGAGGCGCAGGGTCCCTACGCTCCCCCCGTTAGCCCGAAAAAAAGAGGGAGAAAAGGGGGAGAAAGGAAGAGGGAAGAAACGGAGGAAAGGAGAAGGAAGGGCGGTCGGATTTGGTAATTATTTAATACGACATTGACTCAAAATGCATACAATGCGTTAAAATTTCGAAAATTTTCCGGGGAAAGCCCCCTCCGCCCGTCCTTGACCTTTCCTCCCGGGTTTTTCCTGATTTTAAGAGGTTTTTGTCCCTCCCACTCTTAAGGGTAAGTTTAGAAACACATTTTTGATGTATCAGAAAAAAAGTAATAAATTCCATCTGCAGGATGGCATAGGTTTGCCGGTCGAAATACTGGATGTATATACAGTAGAAAATATGCTGTATGAATTTGACTAATCTATGGTGGATTTTCTGGGAATCCCTCATAATCATCAATGAGTTGATTAGCTTAAATGTTTGTTAAATTCAGTTAAATTGCTTAACTTCTAGCTTATACATTTTATTTTCAATTACTTTATTTTTATCTAGATTTTGACTACATTTCGAGGCTACTATCACTCCTAACATCATGCGCTGGCGCGTGTACTGAAGGAAAAAGTCTGGTTTGATGAGCATGGATACACCAAAATATCAACAAATCTCAATTTCATCGGGGTGAATCGTAATCGAACGTAAAAAGAAGCTATATTTTTGCCTGATTGATGGGGTAAACTTCAGTAAAAGGAGCTTTTTACTCAACATTTGAAAGTTTTTGCAAACCCTCTCAAAAGTTTTAGCCATTTTGAGATGCATTGATATTGTTTTGTCCAAATCTATACCACGTTCTTCCAACCCGCCCGATATTAAATTTTTTACACAGCTCGGACAGCTATGTCCAAGAGCGGCATTTCAAGCTTCTTGCGCTTTTAAGAAGCAGAATTTTGGGGCTTGTTGGATTTTTTTTTTCATTTGCAAGTGGAGCCGCAGCCCCTGAGATCGAAAACTTGGACCTTTTTTTTAAAATTTATTTATTATTTTAGATGCCGCTTTTCTTCCCCCAAAAACGTCCCTCGGAAGGGATGAAGTTTCTACTTGGAAAAATTTGTCACAAGAGCCAAAGACATCAATTACAGAGAGAAGGGAGCCCCCGCGAGCCCCCGGCCCCCAAATCTTTTACCTCGACTTACTTTGACAGTTGTGAGGAATTTTAATAACTGTCCCTAGTTTCCTCGGGATAACCTCAACCCCCTCAAAAATCCCGCAAAAACGGTCCCCCCGCAGGGTGCGGCCCCGGCCCCAAAATCTTTTACCTCGACTTATTTTAGCAGTTATGAGCAATTTTAATAACTGTCCCTAGATTTTTCGGGATCCCCTCAACCCCCTCAAAAATCCCGCAAAAAGGGTCCCCCGCAGGGTACGGCCCCGATCCCCCAGGAATCCCCACCCGACTTGGCAACGCAGAAGCCTCCGCCCGACCCGACTCTTAGCGCAGTTGCCAAATCGCAAGCGTAAATCTCATCGCATAGGGAGCATCACCACATCGCGAAGAAAAAACCACACACATCCCCCTCCAAACCGGGTGTAGATACGTGCTTCTCGCCGGGGGCCGGAGTGCGGAGCTATGTGGCAGGTGCGCCCCCGGCTCCGGCCCCGGCTGCAGGTGTTACACACTGTGGGAACTCGTCACTGTGCGGTTCCCACGGGCCACGAATTCCCCTACAGTAGCTTGCCACGAGTCCACCGCGGGCCCGGCCCCCCACAGCCCCCACCCGGGCCGCGCTGTTGCCGAATCTCACCCCGAAACCCCCGGATTTCCTCCCGCGGGTGTGCTCGATGGCAACCGGGCCTGGCCACCGTCTTCGGCGGCGCGGCTTAGCCATCCGCCACTTTATCCCGACTCGCGAGCGCTGCCTCCCGCGGCCACTTCCGTTCCTGCGCCCCGCGTGTGCTCTTGCCCGCTCCCTTATCAGTCGAGCCCTTATCAGTCGCCCGCTTATCAGCCGCGCGCCGCCGCAGACCGTGACTCCCCGGTGACTTTGCGGCCGGGTCCCCTGCCGGACTCTTATCTCTCGTCATCCCTTATCAGCTATCAACCCTTATCAATAGATTGCTGTCAATGTTACATTGTACATCAGTTTGACACTGATTGAACTGGATAAGCTACAAGACGCGCTCAAAGGCAGTGTTTTTTTACACGGAACTGTAAATGTTGTGATCATTGATTTCAGACATTTTAAGACACAATCAAATTCAGAAACTTCTGTTATCATTACTGGTTCCTCTTAGCAGAGTTATTCCTTTAAAAAACGAGCTTGGGAGTGGTATTTTGCTGGACAGAGATATTTCCATCCTGAATCTGTTATTATTGTGCTGTGGTTGTGTTTTCAGACATTTTTGAGACATTTTAAACCATTTTTAAGTCTTAAATCGATTGTTATCACTCCGTGGTGCTTGCGATAAGAGTGATCTATATTGGTGTCCGTTAATTTGTTATCAAAGAACTTTTTCTGCGTGTTGTTGACTGTCCTACGACCTGTAAGGAGTTTTCGTCTATTGCAATGCGCGCTTTGCGCTAAGCTGAAGTGAGTGTTTTCCGGAAAGTTTTTGGACCTGCGGACAGATTTCTACCATCATGAGCCCGACGAACAACTGCTACATCTTGCAGCCCTACCCGGAGGATCAGCCAAGGTCGAGGACTTTTCAATATAGAAAGGTAGGCACTTTTGCTTCTTCTTTGGCTTGTTATGATTGATGATTTCAAACTCTCAGAAATTTTGGCGTTTCTGTCAGTCCTTGTGCGTTTGTGATAGGTGATAATCTTTTTAACATAAAGTCATTTATGGAGTTATCCAAATCGTCGCTCTTCAGACCAAAGAACGTCACTTCATTCTAGGGTTGCACAATTGACTCTAATAAGTCATTTATCTTTAAAAAAATTGATTTTTGCAATTCTCGAGCAAAAAATTAGAAAAAATACAATTTGATAAAGATATCGCAACGTTGAAATGTAGCTACGTTCTTTCGTCTGGGAAAGAAACGTATGTTTTTTTACAAAATCAAGTTAAAGTTTGATATTAAGCCATTTTTCAACGCCAACCCGTTGTTTTAGAGCACAAATGATTGTACCGTCCTGACTAAAATTTAGTCAGATTTCTTGCATTCCAAATGTGAAAAATCAAAAAGAAGCGCTCTAAATTTCTGATAGTGTTCATTAAATACTGTTTGCAGTGAATGTACTGAATGTTATCGAAAAGACATCTTTGATTAGTTCGATGGGAGATTCAGACCAATTGAGAGAAATGTTTGCCTCTAAAAGCTGACTACTCAACTGTATTAACACGGCATCTGTGATGACGTCACTGATAACAACGCAATTAAAAATATCACAGCCAAAATGAGCTGAAGGGTAATGACAGAAAAAGCATGAACTTTTCGCAACTTCGCGAAGTACCGCAAAACCGCGGGTGTGTAGAACTTGCTGCACGAGCACAATCTAGCGTGTCTGAAGTTTTCGCTACCGTGATATTTTTACTAAGTTTTCTTCTCTAACTGTGTGATGGAGTAAAACTTTTCAAGAGGTTTTTCTATTTTCATAAGACAGGTTCTTCACATTGGATGAACGTCGACACGGGTTCTTCGAAAAAAATTCCCCTCTCCTGAGAAAGACTTAAAAATATTTTCCTGTTATTTTTTCTATAGCAACTTTCAGGTTTATTCTTGGAGATTTTGATAGGAGCTCAATTGCTGCACGTGATGTCTCGACTTAAATTTTTGAATCACTTTTTTTAACTACAGTGTGTTAGGAACAGAGTTGGAAAATTTCATGAAAAATCAAAGGGTAAAGTTTCCTATTCAACAATATCAAAAATGTTTGCACTCCGCGAATGAGCGATGAACAATTTATTTTCATTAATTGTCAACGTACTTTTTCGCCTCGTTGGTATGAATTAATACGGAACACTACGGTTACGAAATTTTGTTAAAATATAATATATCAGTGGCAAAAATACAAAAATTGCAGATACACTAAAGAAGAACCCGCGCATTTTCTCATTTGTGGCAGTCCCATCATTATTTCAAATACTCCATTATTATAAATATTACATCGAAGTAAAAAAATTATTTCAGAATTTTCCAACAATCTCCGTGTAGGTGATACTTCATGAATTTTGTTCGGATCATACAAAAAATTGAAGAGGTAGACTGTTTGCCTCAATGTTTTCATCCTTAATATTTAAAAAATCTCAAAAAAGTTATGAGTCAAAACACTATGTGAAAAGAGGATTATTCGTCGTTCGATTCCCGTCACGCAAAATGATCTAAAAAAAGGCATGCACTTACATTACTTTCTAAAATGTTAAAAAGTCTATTTTTATCTTATATGTGCTCAACATGAAAAGGTTCCGTGTGTCTTTGAAAAGGCGGACCAAGTATCGAGGTGGAGAAATATCATTTTGAAAGTTGAAAGTGTCTCGCCCCCTAAGATGACACAAAAGTTTGCCTACGCCTTTGTTTACTTACGTCAATTTAGTTAGGAAAACACCTCATTAAAACTTGAGAGACAAACAAAGCAACTTTGTCCCGGTGATAGAGAATGAGAAAGTTTTCGGCTTGAAAATTTGGCTCGAGAGTATGTAAATTAGATATTCTCAAAGGAGCGCGTTTCGCGTTTTCGCCGGATGCGCCATGCTAATTTTCCATTCTTTTGAAAGAGTTTTAAAATGAAATATTTTCTCCCATTTAATCAAGTTTTTTTTTTAGATCTGTAAAGGTTTGTCGTAATAATGTCATGATTGACTCAGGGGAGAAAATTCTTCCGTTTAATTTCTTCTCGAAAGTTATTTTTGCAACAAATATTGAGGAAATATATTGGGTTTCAGCCTAGGCCGTTTTCTCTAGCATTTCCACTCCTGCGCTCGTCGTCTAGATTAGAAATGGCAGCGGTTCATGGCGTCAGAAACCAGAATCTATAGGTATTAATTAGGAGGCACGTTCACAGCAAAAATCATGTATTCGGAGGAAAAGAAGATATTTATCCTCCTTTAAATTAAGTTTAACAGCTAATATACTGCGTTTGCATAATTTAATATCTCTAGTCATTTCAAAATTGTCTATTTTTTTATTATTATTAGAAAATGCTGCTATTTTTCAAAAGCTTTTTCCCACATTTTAAGAGTCTTTTGCCGAGGTTTCAACCTACTCCATTCACTTTGGATTTTCCACCGGCTGAGGACTGGACTGAGAATGTGTCTCGTCACAACTGTATACTCCTAGAATTTCTTCGTTTTAAAACTGTTACCATACAAAAACATAAAAGAAACATAAGCAACTTTAAAAAAAAGGAAAAAATGTTCTTAAGAGATTTCATTTTTGCGTTATGAGACTGTTTTTACGGCATTTTCCCGCTTTTTTTGAAAGTCATTCACCACGATTTCAGCTTGATCCATTTACTTTCAAATCTTCACGTAGACTAGAGCCTATGCAGAGCCTACAGACTAGCAGAAATATATCTCGCTACGTGAACGTTCCAAAATGTTTCGAGAAACATTACTTAACTTTTGAGGAGGTTTGCAATTCACTGATATTTCAGCTTGATCCATCATAGGCTCTCACTGACTGAGAAACGGACTGGGAATGCCCCTCTCTATTTCAACGTCCCAAATTGTTCCATGAACTTTCTTTCAAAGAGGTTCTCCGCGTTTTAAGAGACAACTTCCGATATTTGAAAAGATAAAGTTAAATTTAGTCAATAGGAAAGGTTGATGATATAGAAACTTTAAAAGCGTATGACTCCGTTTACCCATAACGTTGAGTTTTAAAAATTGGTTTTCTTGTAAAATTTTCTTTCAGAAGCGCCCCTTGAACTGTAGAATTTAAACATCAAAATTTTCATTTTCAGTCAAAAATTTCATGCCCCATCTCTCTCCTGGATTCGATCCGCTGTGCGACTGGGGATTAGACCGGGAATATCTGTCGCTACTTCATCATCCAAAATTTTTTCGTAAAACGTTTTTAAAGTGCTTTCCGTATAGTCATCAAATTTACCGAGATTTCCCTCGCTACTTGAACATTCGAAATTTTGTCGTAAAACGTTATTTTCAAAGAGCTTTCCTAAGAGTCGTTCACCGAGACCTCAGCCTAGATTTTCCTCGCAACTTCAAATTTAATTTTTTTTTTAAAAAAAACAATATTTTTGAAAAGCTTTCCAAAAAGTAATTTACTGAGATCTCAGCAGAGGTTCCCCTCACTTCTTAGACGTCCCAAATTTTGTTGTAAAACATTGTTTTTAAAAAACTTCCGTAAGAGTCATCCATAGAGATTTCCCTCGCTATACTTGAACATCCCAAATTTTGTCGTAAAACGTTATTTTCAAAGAGCTTTGCTAAGAGTCGTTTAGCGAGATCTCAGCCTAAATTGTCCTCGCTACTTCAAAATTCCAAATTTTTTCGTGAAATATCATTTTAAAGAGCTTTCCCAGGAGTCGTTTACCGACATTTCAACCTAAATTTTCCTCGCTACTTCAAAATTCCAAATGTTTTCGTAAAACGTTTGTAAAGAGTTTCCCTAATAGTCATTTACCGAGATTTTAGGCAAGATTTTCTCGCTTCTTCAAAATTCCAAATTTTTTCGTAAAACGTTTGTGAAGAGCTTTCCTTACAGTCATTTACCGAGATTTCAGGCGAGATTTCAGGCAAGATTTCCATCGCTACTTCAACAACTCTAATTTTGTCGTAAAACGTTATTTTTAAAGAGCTTTCCTAGGAGTCATTTACGGAGATTTCAGCTCGATCCATTCACTCTTAAATCCCGGCCGACGCGATGGGGAGATCCGCTACTTGAACATCCCAAATTTTGTCGTAAAACGTTTGTAAAGAGCTTTCCTTACAGTCATTTACCGAGATTTCAGGCGAGATTTCAGGCAAGATTTCCATCGCTACTTCAACATCCCAAATTTTGTCGCAAAACGTTATTTTCAAAGAGCTTTCCTAAGAGTCGTTCACCGAGATCTCAGCCTTTTTCCTCGCTACTTCAAAATTCCAAATTTTTTCGTAATACATTATTTAAAAGAGCTTTCCTAGGAGTCATTTACGGGGATTTCAGCTCGATCCATTCACTCTTAAATCCCGGCCGACGCGACGGGGTCCGGGCTGGGAATGGGAGCGGTTTACGGCGTTGGCGTCGGCGGGGCGAACGGAGGTATTAATTACTGTCAGGGGATAAATCGGATTGGTTTGTAGTGCGGCCTGTGCGGCTGAGCCCGGGACGAAAGCGGGCGAAACGAGCCGATGATTGGAAACGAGAGCCGCGGATCATTCGATTGAGAGTTCACGTCCGCCGCCACCGCTGAAGCTGAAGCTGAAACCGGCCCCAGATCCCGCCGACCCCAGTTGCCATGCCTTTACGCAGATCAAAATCACCAGAGAGACACTTTTTATACGTACCCTACTCTCCTATTTTCCTCACACGCAGAAAATGACCCAGGTGATGTGCTTGATGCCCACTTTTAAAGAATTAAAGGCATTTTTCAAAATTTACAAAATGAGCTTTCCGTGTGATTTTGCTAATAATGGACCAGGGCCCCTAGCCCCTTCCAAATCATGGCGTACGCCTAAATCGTGTCACGTGCATAAAGAGACCATAGATATGGTCTTCTATGCAAATTTTGAATGAAATCGAACAGATAGACTCAGAGATATCGCTGTACACAGATTT